GCAATTACGCCAGGCAAAATCCAGGCCCTTTTTGGCCTTCCAACCAGATTTTCCCAAAAATTGGGCGATCTTAGGGTCCAAGTCAGGGGTGGCGCATGCCATATCCGGGATCGTGGGCATTCTGCCCGAAATTTGTTCCGTCCCACCTTGTACAGTGGTTTTCTGATGCGAGCAGTGATATACTTTGATACGTGGTCCAGTGGGTACCATTCTGAGGACCTCGGGTGTTGTAGGGTGTCAGGGTCGAACAATGGTTCGCCCTGAGGGTCACCTAGGGCGGAGTCGTCGGCTCCGTCTTTGGTGTCCGTGTCTGTCAATGTGAAGGAGTCATATTCCAGCAAATGATTACTGGAATCATCAGAGTCCTCTTCCTCAGACTCGCTCTGTGCCTCCTCTTGCTCCGATTCAGAGTTGGAGGATTCAATTAGAGCCTTAGCCCTCTTCCATTTCCTCACCGATTTTGTCCGGCGGGGGATCTTAGTTGTGGTCCAACCACAGGTTCTGTGATAGGACGTGCCCTGTCTATCTGTAGGGTTTTGAAAGGCGTACTCGTCTAAATGGCAAGACTTTTTAGTGGCTTTACGCCCACTAGGGGCCACCGGTTTATTTTCTGGGGGGTTAGCCATGGGGTTTGGTGGTAGTTGCGTGGATCTCATCGCATTGGTTATGGAATGAGAAATTATCTGACATGGCACCCATGGCGGTGAATATGGCCTGCGTCATATTTCGCCATAGCCGCATCTAGGAGAGAATGTAACTCCTCCGAGTCCATTTGCTCCTGTGCTGTTTCCAGCACTGTGGGAATTTTGGGACCTAGCAAGTGTGATGTGGTTATGGCGGCCCTAGGTTTTGTGGCACTGTTAGCTACGTTATCAGCCTGCATGTCTAGGGATGAGAAAGGGCAGTATGACAGGCAGAATACTAGTTATACCCACTAAGCAGTCTAGTAGCAGGGAAGTTTATTCCAGAGTATAATATCCCCAAACCGACTAGCAGGCACAAGGCACCAATCTGGACAATTTGCTAACTAGGCACAGAATTAATCAAAGTTGCAGAAAGCTCACCGAGTGTTCCCTCAGGAATAAGCTCCTGTGGAGAACTGGGAGACTTGCCCAGCAACAAGCACTAACTCCCGCCCCCAAACGAGCAGTATTGGCCGCGCAAGAAAAAGCGCGGCAAAACTGCCAATCCCAAGATGGCCGCTGCAATGCGCACCCGCGGTGTGCGCATGCGCGGGTGGCCTCAGCTGCGGTTACAACCGCGGTCCGCCGGGACCGCGAAAGACAGCGTTACCCGTGCGAGGGGGAGCCTAGGTAATGGAGGGAATGGGGAAGTAAACAAACCGACCGGAGGGGAGAAAGGGAAAAGCAATCGTAAGGAACATAACACACAATTTAACTGTCATAAAACAGAGGATGAAAAAATCTTGTACTTATCTGAGGCTGCAGCAGCAAAAGAAAGAGGAGTGGGCTTAGGGTCACATGGGACTTTATTTTAATAGGGACACTCTGATTGGTTTATATGTGTTACTTGGTTAACCCTTTAGGAGTAATGATGTGGTGTTATTGATTTGTTTTCTTTTCATTGAATATATATATACAATATTTTCTTTTGCTGCTGAGGAATAAAAGAAAGAGAAAAGCATAATAAGAGCCTCTGTGTCCTTTAATAAAATTATTGATTTATTTGTACAAAAGATCACAGTGGCAGCAGGGATAGCTGAACGTTTTGATTTAAATTGGTACATTTATATCCCTACAGGGCAAGACCACTTACTATTATCTCACATATATATTATTATTATTATTATTATTATTCTTATTGAGCAATTTGGAGCAGTTTGTTTTTAATTGCTCTTCTCTGCCCTTGCTGTAGAGTGAGTGAACCACACTCCAACCTTTCCACAGTTACTCCAGCCACTCCAACCACACAACAGTTACTCCTCTCACTTCAGTTGTAGACTATTAGTGGAGGCAAGAACACTTCACACAATTTCCCCAGAAATTGTACTTTTCTAGTTTATTTATAGCTTTTAGAGTCTAAAAGCTAGCTGAGCATCATGGGAAATGTAGTCCAGAAACAATTTGTGGTGTCAAGGTTAGCCATCACTGCCCTAGAGTCTGGTCTTGTTGGTGGTTTGTAAAGGTGAATTTGGTGGTGATATCACTGTTCATCACTACAAACATATGTTTAAGTCTGACCCAGAAGGATATCGACTATGATATAGAGGAATTAGGAAGGAGAGTCTGGAGAGGAGAAGCATCAGTCTACTATTTTGTGCACCTAACCTGCACTCTCCATCTGCAGATGAATATACTCATTTAATATAAACAGGTGGAGCAACATCTCCTACAAATGCCAGAATTACCTCCCCCAGTAATGTTATTCTTAGTACCACCACCACCTCCTTTCTTGATACCATTAGTCAACCAAGTATTAGTATTGCAACTGCTTTTTTTTACAAATCAACCTGCATCTTCATCAGCCACAAGCTAACGGGTTGATACATATATATTGTGCTGAATCAAAAATTGCCATTACTTTGAAAGCCTCCCAGATGGGTGAATTGCACAGTGTATATTGTGTGGCAAGGAAGTCAATGGGGGGGAGGGGGGTGTTATGGATCTCACAAATGCTGGTATTAAGCAACATCTGCAAAAAACATCACAAGTCTGAATTACTAAGGGAAAAAGCAGAAAGAGAAAGTATGAGGACAGATAGCAAGTTCACTCATGCTGTATCTAATTCTGTTCAACCTACTACCACCATTGGTACCTCCTACACTACTACCACCCTTAGGCAGACCAGGGGGGTGTTAAGCCGAATGCCTCTAGACAACAAGGTCAGGCAGACTGATTCCTTATCATACTAGAGACATGTCTGCCAGCCCATTTTTTTGTTTGACTTCACTTCAAAACAGCAGGCTAACAAAATCACCTGCCTAGTTGTCTAGCTGATTGCTTTGTTTTCCCTGATAGATGGGGAGCCCTTTAAGCAGCATACAGGCCCTCTCTCTGCAATACATCAGTCCAATTCCTGACTACCACAATATCCCAGGTAGCAGACAATCTGAACTATTTCCTTGACACTTCCCTACCCACTGTGTCCCAGAATGTAATATGGAAGCCAATTAACATGTACTCTGGGTCAGTCTAATTTCCCTTGCTTTTAGACTTAAAAAAGCTAGAATCTCAGCTAAGATCAATACTTCAGGCATTTAGGATCTTGGAGACTGACCACGAGCTGGGAAACTCACTAGAAACCTACAAACAGCTGATAGAGAAAATTTACATTACAACAGCTACTCAACACACAATTTAAACATAAACTCCAACTAATAAAACATAAATATTATTCTCAAGGGGGCAAATATGGCAGTCTACTGGCTAAAATGTTTCAAAGCTCCAGACAACCACATTAATTTCCAAAATCAAAAACCCCTCTAGAGACTTGTCCCACAAACCTCCAGACATCCTGCATGCCTTCTACACCAAACTCAAAAATATAACGCAAGAACCACCTGACAACCTACATTGTGAGGTTCCTTTCCACCAGAGTTAACCAAACCATCTCCACTGCAGATATCCAAACATTAGACACCTATTTCGCCAGACTATAAGGCTTTCCAGCAAACTTTGTCAAAGCCATTCATGTTAGCCTTTAATTCCCTCCTGCAGTCATCATTTCTCCCAAATTTGGCCCTTGAAGCACATATTACCCTTATTACCAAACCTGGAAAAGACTCCACAAACTGCGGTAGCTACCAACCAATATCAATATGGACCCTAAACATTTTCACCAAGATTCTGGCCAACCAACTGCACTCAGTCCTCCAGAGACTGGTTTGCCCTAATCAATCAAGGTTTGTCCCAGAATGAGGTGCAAAACATAACTTAATGAAACTTAAAAAACATAAGCTACTGAAACTTATCCACCTCTTGAAATTACGCCAAACTCAATGCCTGTTACTTTCCATCAATGCTGAAAAGATGTTTGACAGGGTGGACTGGTCCCTACTCTTTGAAACTCTCAAAATGATGGGTTATGGCTGTTGGGGATAAAATCAGCCTGGGCCCTTTGTGGATGATGGATATTTGCCAACTCATACAGAGCTCTGGAAATTGGAAATGAACAGCAGAGACGTGTTCAATAACCAATTCAAATTTTAATTGATACATCAGTTATACTTATACCCCATTTTCATGTCGGTGGGGGTCATTGAGCATTGTGACATAGTTTATTTTTCACAAGTTGTTTTCAGTTATAATTCGATGTTACATAATGTATGCATATTGGATAAAACCCAGATGATTACAAATACCAAAATCTTGGACAATTAACAAGGTCATTCCAGAATCCTTATCATGTCATGTAAATAACAAAATCATGTTCCAATAACATTTCCCGTAAATAGATAAGTCATTGTGACATGAGATACAATTCCAAATTTATTCTTGATTCAAATTAACCCTTAACTGAACAGTTAGGATATAGAGCAAAATGGATATTCATATCCTACAATTCCTCTCTTTAGATCATATCGTGATCTACCTTATGGAATATCCATGGGAGGCCTGCGGCAGAGAAACAAAAGGAGGTATATTCAGACGTGCTAATCACGTCTGCGGGACTTTCCTTATTTCTTCACCTCGATTTCCCCCATTTGCTCTATGCCGCAGGTTTTCCCTTTAAGAGGAGATCGAGCTGTCGATTTTCAGCTTCTGTAATCATCTGTTGTACACATCTTTAAGTGTACAAGTTAAATATTTCAAACAGCTGACATCTTAACCAATTTTAAACATACTGCACATCATGTTATCTGTAACTTGAGCCTTGGATCAAAACAGGCAAAGTGTATTATTCCTAACAACGGGAATATTATTATTATAATTCACAACGTAAACACATATAATCAAAAATGGGAATAAAATCTATTTCCCCTCTTTGGACTAGGGTCTTGGATTACCAGTCCACCCAGTGAACTTGGGCCAGGTCAAAAATCCCAGTGGCAAAAACTCATAATTGAGAAAAAAAGCACATCTGGGTAAATTCTAAGTGAGGGCCATGACTGTGTAAACATGTCATCCCCTCACATTGACAGCATTAGTGACTTATAAAACCTGCACTATGTAAGTAAATAGCTCAGGTATCGGGATTGGGAAACACTTCTTGATTAGTTTGAAAAGGCCCACTTACATATTAAATCATAAGATCATTTCTAATCAGTTTGTAATTCTAGCAATAATCCCAATCATGACCTTGCGTCCTATGCCTCCTAATCAAATCCCTATTTCGATAGTCCAGTCATATCCACACTTAATACATTGGAATCCATCCTTGGTACACTTAACATACATCAATGACACACATAGTACATCCATGCCTGAGTAAGCTAACACTTCCTCTCTCTCCGGCTAACTCTACAAAAATAAAAATAAAAATAACAAAATAGTTCAATAGTCCAGAAAAATATTGTGAAGAAATGACTCCGTTCCTCAGGATTTCTACCTTTGTTGCACAAGTTAATTCACCCAATTCAGCTGGAATTCGGCATATAACTATAATTTCTACCATTCGAATGGATTCAGGCGAATTCCCCGTGTAAACTCTAGGTGGCCGCCATTTCGGCACTTTACACGTGGTCGCGGCCATTTTACGTGCGAACAGCGGTGTTTGCCCGTCAAACGCGTGGAACTAAAATCGGATACGCAAACAGGCGAACACCGCTGAGACCTCCATACATCCAGAACTTCGCACGGAAAAAACCGAATCACCGGCCGTTCGGTAGTTACATGCAACTTCGTATGGGGATTTCAACGACCACGAAGATGCGAACGGATGGCAGGACTTTTGTCTTTTTTATTCGCCTAAACGGAGACCGACCGCAGGGCCAAAACTTATGGAACTATTTTCGGCTAGATGATCCGTGCGGTCGGTCAAAACTTTAGTGCTCCATAACTCCCGAACCATTCATCCGAATGGACTGATTTTTTGACATATTGTCCCCCCAAGTGAGCACTATCCAGCGGTGCCCAATTTAAAGGTGTACCCCCTGTTTTTGGGGTACATCCAGAACTGGGGTAAAATAGTGCACGTTTTAATGAAGTTAACTGTTTATCAGAGGGGAGGGAGGTAGGGGCTGTAACCTATACCTGATTGGTGATTTAATGCCGCCCCCTGGGTGTGTATTTCTTGTCTGTAACCCTAATAAAAAGCAGGCTGGAGATCCCAGACCTCAGATCTACTTGTATCCTGATTCTGGACTCTGACTGTTATTTGGGAATTCGTATGCTTTACCAAGGGGATTATCTTGGGAAGCTGTTATATTTCTTATGGACCTCATTGCTTGGAACTACCTTAGACGCTGGCATTGCAGGAGGAATTATCAAAGCGGTTCAGCTATACTTGATTTCCTTACAACTGGTGGCAAGCGGAGGGATTCGAATCCCAAATGGACATTTCAAAACAAGCAAAGGAATGAATAGCTCAGCAGTACCAGCTACTTAAAAGAACCACGCTAAAGGACTTACTGGAAGCTCGAGGCAGAGTGGCAAGTAACAAAACAAAAGCCACGTTAATTGCGGAGTTAATGCAGAGCGATAATACCAGTAATACAGAGATGGATCAAGAGGAAGAAACCGTGATGCAAAAGGACATCCGATGGACACTCAGTTTATTGGGACCCAATCCATCCTCAGAGGCGATACTGCAGGTCGTAGCACAAGCCAGACAAGCGCAAAAAGAGCGAGATGACCGGGACAGAGCGTCACAGGGGGATTTGCTACACCCCCCGAGAGGTATTGGGGAAATGCCAAAGAAGGTAAATTATGCAGCGTTTAAATCATTTGTTGACAATGAAATGGAAATCGACAGTTACTTGCAAGACTTTGAACGTCAGTGTGCACTGGAGGGATTAGACTCCACCAAATGGGCTGCAGTCGTCAGCAGTAAATTGTCAGGTAGAGCAGCCGAGGCGCTGCGAGCAGTACCTGAGGGGGACATACATAATTATGAGAAAATAAAAGATATTTTGTTGGCCAGATATGCGGTAACTCCGGAGGCATACCGGAAAAAGTTTAGAGACCTGAGAAAGACTGGGAGAGATTCCCATACGGAATGGGCTTTTCGCCTGCAGCGGGCAGCCCGCAATTGGATGAAGGGCTGCCAGGCAACCACCCTAGAAGAAGCTTTGCAACTAGTGATACTGGAGCAATTTTTTAATCATACTGCAGAGGACATAAAAGACTGGGTAAAAGATAGGAAACCAAAAACCGTGGAGGAGGCCGCTAGGCTAGCGGACGAGTACCAGGATAACAGGAGGAAGGAGCCAAGGGCGAGCAGACCACCATTTAAGCCTCAGTACACAGCTCCAACAAACCCGGCTCCACCTAGACCTGCCATAGGTAACCCCCCACCGAACCCAGCAAACACACCTCGACCTCCTGCAGTGTGTCACTACTGCAAGCAACCAGGACATTACAAGCATCAGTGCCCTCGCTTAAACCGGGGAAGCTGGGAACGGCCAGCCCCACAACAACCCAGGGCAGCTGCTCACTGTGTGCAACAGGAACACACAGGCCCTGCCCTTAACCACGAAGAACAGTGGAGCGTATTACATGAGGTCAATCCAGTACAAGCTGGGGGGACAACCGGGACCACCACCGCCAATGGATTACCGTCGATGGCGTGGGGGCCCGGGCGCTGAGAGACTCTGGGGCTACTTTGACTGTGGTACAGCCCCACACGGTCAGAGCACAAGCTCGCACCGGACGCACAGTCGCTGTAAGGGTGGCTGGGGGCGCTATTCACAAACTGCCCACCGCTAATATGTTTGTTGATTGGGGTTCCGGGTCTAAACAACTGGAGGTGGGGATTATGCAAGAACTGCCCGCCGAGGTTTTGTTGGGAAATGATGTGGGATGCCTAACCTCTCAACTAGCCCGAGACCCCCCTGCCGAGGCCTACCCGGTTACCACCCGAGCTCAAGCCAGACTGAAAGCTCCGCTGCACTCTGAGGAGAACCAGGTAAGAGTCGAAATACCCCCTTTACCCGATCCCCCCGTACCCTTCTGGGATACCCCCCAGGGGTTTGAACAGGAACAGCGTACTGACCCCACATTAGAAGGCTATAGGAAGGCCGCGGCCGCTACCCCCGAGAACAACCCGCACGAAAAATTTGAGTGGTATAAGGGGTTGCTATATAGGGTAACCGAGGGGGTGGGACAGGGGGCTACCCAGGTCATAAAAAGACAGTTAGTTGTGCCCCGTAAATTTCGGGCTGAGTTGTTAAAACTCAGTCATGACATTCCCCTAGCAGGACATTTAGGGGTCAAAAAGACCAGAGACAGGTTAACTCAAACCTTCTTCTGGCCCAGAGCCACCCAGGACCTAAAATACTATTGTAGGACATGTGATGTATGCCAAAGGGTAGGGAAAAGGGGAGACCTTCGGAAGGCTAAGCTTCACCCCCTACCCATCATCGAACAGCCCTTCCACCGAGTAGCGGTGGATTTAATAGGTCCCCTCAGTCGCCCCAGTCCGTCGGGCAAAAAGTTTATCCTAACGGTGGTTGACTACGCCACTAGATACCCGGAGGCAGTCGCCCTCACCAATATAGAGGCCGAGACCGTGGCAGAGGCCCTTATTCAGATATTCACCCGAGTAGGTTTCCCGCAGGAGATACTCTCCGATCGGGGGACGCAGTTCACAGCCACCCTGACGCAACAACTGTGGCAGAGCTGTGGAGTGCAGCCCCTGTTCAGCGCCCCGTATCATCCCCAGACTAACGGGCTCTGTGAACGTTTCAATGGCACTCTAAAACAGATGCTAAAAACTTTTACAGAGTCCCACAAGAATTGGGAAAAATTCCTTCCCCACCTTCTGTTTGCCTACCGTGAGGTGCCCCAGGCCTCCACTGGGTTTCCCCCTTCGAACTCCTGTACGGGAGAAAAGTTCGGGGCCCACTGGAGCTCGTACGGGAACACTGGGAGGGCAATACAGATGAGGGGGGAGTCCCTATCGTCCAGTATGTCCTGGAGTTCCGGGACCGTCTGCGGGCCCTCACCGAATCGGTTCGGGAGAACCTGCAGGCGGCCCAGGAGGACCAGAAAAAGTGGTACGATAGGAGGGCCCAGGATAGAGTGCTGGACTTAGGGCAGAAGGTACTGGCTCTGAGGCCCGTTAAAAAGGACAAGCTGCAAGCAGCCTGGCAGGGACCCTTTAAGGTAGTGGAACAGGTTAGCGAGACTACCTACATCGTGAGCAAATGCTCAGATGAAAGGCTGACCAAAGCCTTCCATGTGAACATGCTCAAACCATATTTTGAAAGGACAGAGGAGGTGGGCGCCGTGTGCGCCCCCGCCACAGAGGATAGTGAAGGGCTTCCCCTGCCTGACTTACTGGAGACCACCCCCTGTACTATTGACCAAGTAAGCTTGGGGCAAAATTTAGACCACCTGGAGAAAGGTGAGGCTACTCAACTGCTGCAGGGATACCGAGAGATGTTTTCCGCTACCCCCGGCTATACCTCCGCTGCGGTCCACCGTGTGGAAACCCAGGGAGAGACGCCCCTACGGCAACAGCCATATCGGATCCCGGAAGCAGTACGTGAGAGTATGCTCACCGAGTTAAGGGATATGTTACGGCTAGGGGTAATAGAACCCTCCCAAAGTCCTTGGGCCTCCCCGGTGGTACTAGTACCGAAGCGCGATGGCACTACGCGCTTCTGTGTAGATTACCGGAGGCTTAACGACCGTACCATAACCGATGCCTACCCCATGCCTAGAATAGATGAGCTCTTAGATCGTATGGCGGGGGGAAACTACTTGACTACCCTGGACCTGTGCAAGGGTTATTGGCAGATCCCCCTGGAGCCTGCGGCCATCCCCAAGTCGGCGTTCGTCACCCCGTTTGGGCTATACCAATTCAAGGTTATGCCCTTTGGGATGAAGAACGCCCCGGCTACGTTTCAGCGGATGGCGGATAGGCTCCTGGAGGGGTTGCAGGACTTCGCATGTGCGTATCTAGATGATATTGCCATCTATAGCCGCACATGGGGAGACCATCTGGGTCATGTGTCCAGGGTACTCGAACGAATCCACCTCGCCGGGCTCACTTTGAAACCCGACAAGTGTCACGTAGGCCTAGCCGAGGTCCAGTATCTAGGCCACCGTGTCGGCTCCGGTAGACAACGCCCAGAGCCCGCTAAGGTAGAAGCCATAGCTAACTGGCCCCAACCTCGGACCAAAACCCAGGTACTGGCTTTCTTAGGGACGGCCGGGTATTATAGGAAGTTCGTCCCAGAATATAGCGCCCTGGCCAAGCCCCTCACG